TTGAAACTTTCCGATCGCACCTCGTATGTCTGTGTAATTGAAACTATTTTTTTTAAATAAGCTGCGAATCACCCAACAATACGACAAATTGTTAAGAAAGAGATGGATCTAGTTCAATTGAGAACACATAAGTACCGCGGCGTTTCATGATTTTACCTTAATCCCTCCAGAGTAATTCCAGAATGTTACATTAAATTCGCCACGACTGCTACCTTGCGCATCCTTTGTGATTTATTATTCGTTAATTATCCTGTCATCTGACGCTATATAGTCTGAACTACTTACAGCGTCGTTAAGTAAGCCACAAATGAATAATACATATTAATCGTGACTAGTTCTGGTCAAATATCCTTTTTATTGTTACTGAGGCTTCCTGTTTTGACGTCCCATTACATTATCCAGCCGTAACTAGCTGACTCAAAATCACCACTATGCAGTGCGGACGCCAAGTAAACTGATGCAGACATGAACGATGTAACGTAATATATCTGAGTGGAATTCTGTAGTCTGTAATAGACTCAGACAACGCTACAATTTTCATTAGTGACGCTTGTAAAATAAACCCAAAGGAAAAACGCCAAAGTTTCGATTCATTAACATGGTATAGCTGAAGCCATAACTAACGTGTATAGCTTAATTTAGTGTATGTATTTCAGTCAGAAGGGGACTGGCTACGGACCGGACACACGTGGTTCAGATCCTGATAGAATTTATTTTTCCGTCCACCACTAAACCTAGACTCTCAGTCTCCCATCCATTATATGCCAGAAACACTTGCAGTTGGCTGGAGCTTGCTAACGACGCATTTATTAATCGATTCTGCTATGTTTCATTGTATGGGGCACCACTAAACCACAAAAGTAAGAAAGAAGACTTTTTATTTTTAGTTTTTCAATATGTTACCTGGTCTGACATTGCTAACATTGATAAAGATGCATTACTTTCTTTTGAATAACGCAATAGTGTTCTTAATGTTTACAGTCCTATTAATCGCGTAATATGTTAGCCGTAACCGTTGGAATATATCTCGATTAGATTATTATAAATAATTGTTTTTATATTTACATATCCGCTGAAGGATTATAGAGACCCTGCGAGCCTAACAAACATCGTGTGTTTATCAAACGCTTTCAGTCCAACAAATTATATAATCTAATTCCCGTATAATTATCCGGTGAACCACATTAATTACACAATCCAGTCGACTGGGCATTGTCTCGCGTCACAGTTACTGAAACATAACACGGACGGAATATTAAAGTATAGCTGTAACGCTTGTAATTTAGTATTTCTTCAAGATAAGAGACAACAGTTTGGAGACTTTCAAAATAACCGACAAAAATTATTATTGATAAATAGAGGATCGGTGCTCGATTCCCATTAAGGTAGGATTTTTTTCTCTTCGTTACAACGTCCGTACCTGCTGTGGGATCCAGCAGCCTTTTTATATTGAGTAAAAAGCGGCCGGGGCGTGAAGCTAACAATTCACCTGCATCTAATGCTAAGGTTAAGAACGCGTGAAGGTATGCCTCCACTCTTCCATACGTCTGCATGGCGTGATGCTTAGTTAAGCACCAGGGAAAACTTCAGTGAATGTAATAGTAGGATGGATAATGACAATATTCTCGCCAGACAATATTATATTATATAGAATTGTAATTTCCAGTGATTTTATGACGCCTGTGAAATCAAGATAGCATTAAATTCATATATCGACCACATTTTGGAACTGTGAATTTCATTTTGTGAAACGCTGATAAGTACCACTGGAAAACACAATGACAAGAAACAGCATTTACGTCCGAAATGCGGGACTTCAAATCCAATACTGCCACTTCACGACGAAAAAATGACGTCAACAGCGAAACTGTAGCACGTAGTGGTGGCAGTCCGCATAGGTTAATTAGTTTTCCAACACAATGCTGCCGAAATGATGTCGTGTCATGTCTCGACGCCAGTGACTGACCGAAATTCCACATCTCCGGAACTTGCCTGTAATTAATCATTTTGTGTGCACCGTAATCATGCAATTAAAGACACGAAACTGCATTATTTCTCTCAAGTGTTGTACAGAGCAATTTGTGCGTGTGGTTTTGGCAACCAGCTCAGTGTTATGAATCCCACTGTTTTGAAGACAAAATGACTTTCAACTACGTCATTTTATCTTATCACCAGACCAACTCCGTGGAGCAGACTTCTACTTGAGAAACTGATAATTCTTTAAGTAATCAGGAAGTTCTCCGCCTTTTATGAAACCTGAAGGTTTATTACCGTGTTTACAATAGCCCGCCACTGGTTCTTATCCTGTGCCAGATTAATCTAATCCATACCTTCCCGCCATGTTGCCCTGAGATCCATTGTACTGTTATCATGCAGTCAATACCTAGGAATTTCGAGTTGTTCTTCCCTTTTGAATCTCCAACTAACATGTAAGCATTAAGCATCTCCCCATACTTGCTATATGATCCGCCCATCTAATTGTCCTACATCGCTCATCGCTAGACTATACAAAAGATTTGTAGTTTAGGAATAATATGAATATTTTTAAAGTGTATTAGTAACGATAGTTCCTAATTACCATTCAGCTTATTGATGCAGATTTAAGAGCAGGCTAAATTCAGGAAGTGTTTGTTACCATTCAGCACACAGTTCTCTTGTTTTTCATCTAAATACATAAAGATAAGATAAAACATACTAAACTGCAAGACAATCTTGTGGAACTTGGTTTCATTCTAACGCAACTGAATAGGCTGAAGGTGTTTGAGAGGCGGTCGCTGCCTCCATCTTAAGGGCTATTGGTCACTCATCGCCCTGAAAAGTCAGTAAACGTCCACCGGACTACAAGCCGCAACAACCCAGAAGACAGCCATCTTCTTGCAGAATCTTGATGGGCATACCAGTAGAAAAACTTTCATTTGGAAGTCCGAGAAGGAGATGGGAGAATGGGATGATGACAGCTTAAGGAGATAGGAGTGTGAGGAAGAGAGATAAATGGAACTTGCTCAGGATCTTGTCCGATGACTGTCTTTGGTATTAGCGGAGTTAAACCATCGAGTTCTGCTACCTGAAAGTTTACGTATTCATGAACGCTTGCAAACTGAGGGCCTTGAACTGGGAAGGTCGAAGCCGTGTGCTGTTGGATGAAACAGGACAAGACACCGGCTCGGCTAAGTGAAATCAATACTATCTAGGGATTACGCGCCCAGCCCTGCTCGCCCTATGTAAACAGCACTCAGCTGCACTTAACATTCACGTAACATCGATCCCTATGACAGTTCTATAGCTCAATTTGAACACTTTGATATGCTTGTTCGCCTTCTGTACACGAAGTTCGTAAAATAACAAATCATGTCTGTCTGTTTTTTATCCGGACCTGCCCAACGTATTTCGGTTATAGCCCATTTGGTAATGTGGGACTCGGCCAAAATACTGGCGACTTAAATTCTGGCCCAGTGACAGATTTTGGGTTGGAAGTCAGGTCAGCCATTT